CCCCTCCCTCTCAGTTTTCAAGTCCTGTTTAAAAACTCACTACTATTCAGTATCTTTCAACACCAGATGATCTGTGTTTGATCCTGTATGCTCCACACTGGTTTGTCGTCATTATCTGCATCGTTTTTATGTCTATATTCTGATTTACCTCATTTTGTATTTTGCTTTGTGTGTTACCTGTTGTTCTGTCTGTACAGCACTTTGGTTGGCCTTGTAGCAGTTTTAAGTGCTTTATAAATAAAGTGGTATGGTATGGTATGGTATGGTATGGTATGGTATGGTATGGTATGGTATGGTATGGTAGTAAACCTAATTGTGATTCAGGCCTCATGTGGAGCACAAAGATCTGGACATGTCCTGCTGGAAGTCCTTGGTTGCACAAACATCTGTCACACAGTGGCTCAGCGGTGTACTGTGGTGCCACGTGGACCTCAGATAAATGGCACTGAGATGAAGAGGATGTCCTACAGCAACGTGAACGTCAACATGACGTGTAAGTTCTGCTCCATCCAGGTCGTGGTCCTCCTAAATGATCCAGTCAACATCTGCTGGACTTCTTTTTCCATTCTTCATCTGAAGAGCCTCAAACCTTCCAGATGTGGACTAGTCTCACTGCTGCTGCTCGCTCACCTTAAAGTCTGTTTCACTTTCGGTCCTGACGCGTGCAGGAGTCATATAATTATAAACCTGTTTGTTTTTAACCTCTACAATCGTTTCTTCTACTTGGTTTGTCTGTGCTCTCCAAAATAAAACAATTCCTCCAGCGTTTAAATTCAAAACCTCTGGATTTATTCTGAAAGCAGCGCGGGACATAAATCCAGACGAAATGAATCCAGGCGTGAAGCGGTAATGACACTCACTGCTTCATTTAGAAATCTTGTAAACGTGTGTCTGAATGGACCTTCTGTGCAGCAGCCAGTAAAATACTAATAAAACGTAACTGCTGCTGCAAACGGCAAAAATCATTTTTACGAGTCGCGACACAAACGCTCTTTATGATTTATCTTTAAACTTTGATTTTATTCCTGATCTCCATCCTTCAGCATTTCACAAAAAGCTTCTTTTTCACGCACGTCAACTCGTCTTGTGCCAAAGTAAAGGACAATGGAGCTTTAACGTGCTTTCTTTGACGTGCACACGTTTGTCTCGCGGTGGCTGCGCGTCCTTCACAGCTGCAGCTGGAAACCTGAACGACGGACGGTGTTGACGCGCGCTGCGGCCTCGACGAGTCCCATCAACAACCACCTCATGTCCCCTGAAAGCACCGACAGCCTGGAGCACATAGCAGAGGGACGAGTGCGCACGGCGCTCACACAAACCACTGCAAGACACAGCACGGTGGGTCAGTGGGTAGAGCTGCCACCTCTCAGCCAGAAGACAAACGAGTGAGGTGATCTGTGAAACTAGATTGTGACAACAATGGATCTCCTCGTGAGCAGGTCAGCCTGCTCCTCTTCCTCGTTTGGCTTCTTCTCTGAGCTCCACGTGTCAAGACTCTGGACCAGATACCATCAGCACTTGTGCAACATGATGCGACTCGGTGTCATTCCAAGTTAAATCTGAGTTCTTCTTATAATTTTGTGTCTCCGTCAAGTTGCCAACAAACGTAATCCAGTGATGCACTGAGTCCAGCGCACCACTAGCACAGGGACCCAGTTCCTTGATCTTCTGCTCGTTCAGAGCACTGACACATTTGAGCCCGTTCAGAATGTTTGCACTAAATAAGACGAGTGAGACTGGATGTTTAACAGGAACACTGGGTTTCCTTGTGGTTCCTGTAGCCAGCAGTGAAACACTGAAGCTCTGAGGTTTTGGACGTGTCGCTTTCATCACATCAGGCTGACGGAGCGAGTGAAGACAAAAAACCACGGACAGAAACCTGCTCTGCTTTGAGTGTGGATCTCCAAACGGTGTCAGCAGGAAGTCCAGGTCCATGAAGGTGTTAAATGTTTGCTGTTGTGAGGGACACGTTCAGAGCAGCAGCTGCTCGTCCGCAGCTCAACACGTTCTCCATCTGCTCCATGAAGGTGAAGATCCATGAGCTCTGGTGTGACCTGCTGCATGTTCTGTGTCAAACAGAGACCGTGTCCTCCAGAGGATGATCATCAGTAACAATCATCTTTTCACTCATTGTGTCCAACAGCTTGTTGTCCAACGTGCGCACGGTTATAACTCCACTGTAAATCTGGTATTTGGACACAAACGTTTTTCTTCAGGTGATTTATCTCTAAGAAGAAGGTTTGACAGTTGGTGACAAGACTCGAAGCAGCAGAACTCCTGAACGCAGGAGAAGAGTCCGTGTCCTCAGAGACACGCTGGAAACTAAATGTCTGCCTGATTCAGTCACAAGAAGAAGAAGAATGATCTCCAGGACACACGTGCTGTCCAGGACTTATTCTCCTGAAATCATCAAGTTCACGCAGAACATGAGCGCAGCATTCAAACTGTGCACGTTCCTCCAACACTGGAAACTTTCTAAGAGTCAGAAAACACTCACTGAATGTCAAGTGCCCAACCAGACACTAGAACAACTAACAAGAGGTGAAGACAATAATCAGCAGGGCATGGTGGTGGTCTCTGCATGGAGTCCCCTCAGTCCCAACAGGACATGGTGGTGTCCTCGCTCCATGGAGGACACACGTGGGTTCTTCTATCACTTCTCTAACAAAGTGTTCAACCAGCACGAAGAGGACGGCTGCTGCTCCACAGTCACCTCTGACAACTCTGCTCAAATAAAAAACGGGTTTATGATTTAAAGAACGTCGATATTGAAAGGGAACCGAAAACCTTTTCATGGTGTGACTGTGTTAAGAGCAAAACTGCGGCCTTTACTGGTATAAATTCACACTGAGCGATAAAAACGAGTTTTTATGATGATTCCAGTCCAACGTTTGCAAAGAAATGGGAAGTTTGTGGAAACAGCAGAGATCCGTGAGGCTTTGGGTGGTAGTGGCTGAGAGTTCCTCAGAGGCCCCTACAAGAACCTCATGATCCCAGCAAGCGTCTGGACCCAGACCCAGACACCAAGTGTTCACTTTTACTCACATTTCAATGATTTACTGCGCGCGTGCGCTGCGGCGTCAGCTCCGACAGGTAATTAAGGTTTATGAGTTTCACTAACACCTGGATCATTTAAGGCGTGGACTGGCATGTTTGGCTAAAAGGACACACACATAACTTGTAACCGCTCAACTTGCACTAATTAAGTGTTTGTTTGTTTGTTTGTGTGTTTGTGTGTCTGTTTGTTTGTTTGTTTGTTTGTGTGTCTGTTTGTTTGTTTGTGTGTTTGTGTGTCTGTTTGTTTGTTTGTTTGTGTGTTGCGCACCGTGCGCACAGCCTGCAGACATGCAGGTCCTTCCTTCAGTTCGTGTGTTCGCAGTGCATTGAGGGTGTACCTGTGGCAGGATCGTGCGCTTCTTGGTGACAGGAGTGGTTCGGTTCCCAGCTGCCAGATGTGCGCCACTTTCTTCTGGCAGCCCCGGCCTGATGGAGTTCGGCTTCGGCCGCGCCTCTGGAAGCTGCGGCGCGCGCGTCTTCACGGAGCTCAGCAGGAACATCACAGCGCAACATCTGCTCCAAGTGGACACGCGCATCCTCGAATCAAGAAAAAATATAAAACCTCCTTTAAAAGCCTGAAGTTTGTGAAGGGGAAGGATGTCAGTGAGGAGCGTGCGCGCTGCCACTGTCCGTGCGTAAAGTTGGACGAACTTCAACCAAGACTGATGGAGTCCAGTTCCAGATGTGTGACCTGGAGGATGAAGGTAACTGGTGGAACTCCTCCGTCAGGCAGAGTGAGCGCGTGCGTCCCTCCTGCAGCAGCTTTTATCACCTCGGATGTCTTTTTATAGCACGCGCTTCTGCCTCCGCCCCATGTGACAAACACTGGAAGTGATGCGCACCGTGCTCCCCTGACAGCCCCACCAAGCTGCGCGAGCTCTGACCGAGCAGCTCCTCCACTTCTCCTGGAGACAAAACAAAAAGTCAGAGGTGCCTGAAGCTTTCACTGATTACAAGAATAAAAGCACAGGAATGATGCCAGTCCCACCAGCAGCACTCACACACTGGGCCAACCAGTTTGATGGCGCTCAGGGGGTGTATGGAGCCCACCCTCTCCACCCTGGACTCCTCTGAGGCAGCCGGTTCAAAACATCAAAGCTCATGCTCAGTAATCCAGGTAAGAAATCCAACAAAGTTCAATCTGGTTATTTTTGTTGAGATGTTTCATCCAGAGGACTTCATCAGTCCAATGAGCCGCAACAAACTCAGCACCATCAAACTGGTTGACCCACTATGTGAGTGTGCTGCCTGTGGGACTGAGTTTGTTGTGGCTCCTCAGACTGAAGAAGTCCTTTGGATGAAGGACGAAACATCTCAACAAAAATAAACCGTCCAGAGGACCTGACAGAGGGTAAAGAGAGCTGGTTAAAAACAATGTGACAGTCGTTGTTTCCGTTCTGTTAAAGAGACGAGGCTTCTTTAGAGAACTTTTGTCTTTTTCATGAAAGAGAACTTTTGTCTTTTTCATGAAAGAGAACTTTTGTCTTTTTCATGAAAGAGAACTTTTGTCTTTTTCATGAAAGAGAATGCTCGGTGCTGAGATGACGCATGTTGGAGAGAACTGAACTGATTTGAAGCAGGTGAGCCATAATGGATGGATGAACTTCCCTCTGATGGAACAAATCAACACTGAGAGAGCACGAGATTTAAAGGCTCCTTGATTTGGTTCTGCGCTTCATTCCAGTTGGAAAACATGTTTAAAAAGTATCTTTGTTAGTTTCACGCACGTACAACACATTCAGTTTACTAAGGTCAAATACCGTTCTCATACAGTGGCACAAGTACCACAGCTGCTGCTTAGGATCCCTCTAGTGGAACACAGTAGAAATTCTGCTTCTATTTAGTCCATCCATCCATCCATCCATCCATCCATCCATCCATCCATCCATCCACCCATCCATCCATCCATCCATCCATCCATCCATCCATCCATTATCTTTACCCGCTTCTTCCATTTTGGGTCACGGGGGTCGCCGGTGCCCATGTCCAGCAATCACTGTGCGAGGGGCGGGAGACACCCTGGACAGGTCTCCAGTCCATCACAGGGACACATAGAGACAAACGAGACAAACAACCATTCACTCTCTCTCTCACACCTAGGGACAATTTAGAGTTACCAGTCAGTCCAACATGCATGTTTTTGGTCTGTGGGAGAAAACTGGAGCACCCGGAGAAAACCCACGCATGCACGGAGAGAACATGCAAACTCCACCCAGAAAGGCCCCCGGCCGGGATTTGAACCAACAACCTGCTCGCTGTGAGGCAGCAGCTCTACCAGTTGTGCCACCGTGCTGCCCTGATTGAATTAGTTTAAATTCATTTCAGTTTATTCATAAAGCACCAAATCACAACAAAGTTGTCTCAGGGACTTTACAGGAACATTCACATAATTAGTAAAGTTCTCTATCTAAGGAATCCAGCAGACAAGATGAATCTTGGCTTCGTTGCAGTCTCCCATCCTGAGCAAGCACAGTGGAGACAGTGGAAAGAAAAACTCCCTTTAACAGGAAGAAACCTCCAGCAGAACCAGCTCAGGACAAGAGGCCATCTGCTCTGACCGGCTGGTTGAGAGGACAGGAAGGAGAGACAGACGAACACAGAATGGTAGGTCCAGGTATAGGTCCAGGTCCAGGTATAGGCCCAGGTCCAGGTATAGGCCCAGGTCCAGGTGTAGGTCCAGGTCCAGATATAGGTCTAGGTCCAGATATAGGTCCAGGTCCAGGTATAGGTCCAGGTCCAGGTATAGGTCCAGGT